AAAAAAAAAGAAAAAAAAGAAATGAGGAAAGATCTCAAATCAATAACCTAGGCATACTACTTAAGAAATTACAGAAAAGAGGCCAGGTGCAGTGGCTCATGCCTGTAATCCCAGCACTTCAGGAGGCTGGGGCAGGCAGATCACCTGAGGTCAGGAATTCAAGACCAGCCTGGCCAACATGGTGAAACCCTGTCTCTACTAAAAATACAAAAACACTTAATGGTGAAAGCCTGAATGCTTTCTCCTCTAAGGTCAGGAACAAGGCAGGATGTTCATTCATATCACTCCTATTCAACATTATACTACAAGTCCTAGACAGTGCAATAAGGCAAAAATAAATAAATAAAAGGAATACAGATTGGAAAGGAAGAAATTAAAATCATTCTTTTTGAAGATAAGGTGATCGTCTATGATAAAAATGACAAGGAATCTGCAACACCCCCTGCTGCAAACACCACACAAAAAAAATTCTCCTAAAACTGGCTTGGTGTAGTGGCTCATACCTATAACCTCAGCACTTTGGGAGGCTGAAGGGGAGAGCCCTTGAGCCCAGGAGTTCAAGACTAGCCTGGGCAACATAGACAAGAAGAAGAAAGGGGAGGAGGAGAAGAGAAGGGAGAAGAGAGAAGAGAAGAAGGGCAAGGGCAAGGGCAAGGGGAAGAGGAAGAGAAAAAATTAGTGAGGTGTGCTGGCACATGGTAATGGTCCCAGCTACTCAGGAGGCTGAGCAGAAGCTTTTGAAGATATAAACAAATTCTAGAATTTGCATGGAAAGGCAAGGGAGTTAGAATATAAAAAACAATTTTGAAAAATAAGAAAGTTGGACCAGGTACAGTGGCTCACACTTGTAATCCCAGCACTTTGGGAGGCCGAGGTGGGCAGATCACCTGAGGCCATTAGAGACCAGCCTGGTCCAACATGGTGAAACCCCTTCTCTACTAAAAATGAAAAAATTAGCTGGGCATGGTGGCATGCGCCTATAGTCCCAGCTACTCGGGAAACTGAGGCAGGAAAATTGCTTGAACCCAGGAGGTAGAGGTTGCAGTGAGCCGAGATCGTGCCATTGCGCTCCAGCCTGGGTGACAGAGCAAGACTCTGTCTAAAACAGAAAAAAAAAGGAATCCTATTTACAATAGCTACAAATAAAATTAAACACATAGGAATTAACCAAGGAAGTATAAGATCTGTGTAATGAAAACTGTATGAAAAAACTGCAATGAAAACACTGATGAAAGAAATAGAAGAAAATTGATTCCACAGAAAAAGGGAAAAATATTCCATGTTCATGGATTGCAAGAATTAATGTTGCTAAAATCTTCAGGCTGGGCACAGTGGTGCGCTCCTGTAACCTCAGCACTTTGGGAGACTGAGGCAGGTGTATCACTTGAGGTCAGGAGTTTGGGACCAGCCTGGGCAACATATGGAGACCCCGTCTCTACGAAAAATACAAAAAATTAGCCATGCAAGATGGCGTGCACCTGTAGTCCCAGCTATTTGGGTGGCTGAGGCAGGAGGATCACTCGAGTCCAAGAGGTCAAAGCTGCAGTGAGCTGTGATCAAGTCACTGCAGTCCAACCTGGGCAACAAAGCCAGACTCAAAAAAAAAAAAAGTTCATACTACTCAAAGCAATCTACAGATTTAATGTAATCCCTATCAAAATACCAATGTCGGCTGAGCACAGTGGCTCACACCCATAATCCCAGCACTTTGGGAGGCTGAGGCAGGTGAATTGCCTGAGGTCAGGAGTTTGAGAGCAGCCTCACCAACATAGAGAAACCCTGTCTCTACTAAAAATACAAAAATTAGCTGGGCATGGTGGCGTATGCCTGTAATCCCAGCTAGTCAGGAGGCAGAGACAGGAAAATTGCTTGAATACGGGAGGTGGATGTTGCAAAGAGCCAAAATCACACCATTGCATTTTAGCCTGGGTAACAAAGTGAGACTCCATCTCAAAAAAACAAAACAAAAACCAATGGCGTTCTTCACAAAAATAGAAAAAATAATTCTAAAAATTATATGAAATCACAAAAGATCCAGAATAGCCAAAGCTATCCTGAGGGAAAAAAAAAAAAAAAAAAAAAAAAAGAATTGCATTGCTGGCCGGGTGCAGTAGCTCACACTGGTAATCTCAGCACTTTGGGAAGCTGAGATGGGCAGATCACAAGGTCAGGAGTTCGAGACCAGCCTGGCCAACATGGTGAAACCCCATGTCTACTAAAAATACAAAAATTAGGCAGCCATGGTGGTGCGTGACTATAATCCCAGCTACTCAGGAGGCTGAAGCAGGAGAATTGCTTCAACCCATGACGCGGAGGTTGCAGTGAGCCAAGATTATGCTACTGCACTCCAGCCTGGGTGACAGAGTGAGACTCCATCTCAAAAAAAAAAAAAGAACAAAATTGGAGGAATCACAATACCTGATTTCAAATTAGACTACAGAGCTATAATAACCAAAATATCATGGTACTGGCATAAAAACAGACACAAAGATCAATGGAACAGAATAGATAATCCAGAAACAAATCTACACACCTACAATGAACTCATTTTCAGCAAAGTTGCCAAGAATACATACAGTAAGCCAAGATCGTGCCACTGCACAGCAGCTTGGGCAACAGAGCAAGACTTAGTCTCAAAAAAAAA